GGGGCTGGGGAGGTGCTGGGGGGCTCCTCTGCCCCACGGGGGGAGGGGGATGGGGCAGAGCTGACGGGGGCTCCCCACAGGAGAACGATGTGGGCACCAAGAAGAAGAAGAAAAAGAAGAAGCAGCAGGAGGAGTCGGAGCCCGAGGAGAACGGGGTGGAGGAGGAGGAGGAGGAGGAGGAGGAGGAGGAAGAGCCACTGCCCAAGAAGAAAAGGAAAATCACGGTGGAGCCTGAGGAGGAGGAGGAGGAGGAGGAGAAGAAGAAGAAAAAGAAGAAGAAGAAGAAGGCAGCGTCTCGGGACTCGGAGGAGGATTAGCGAGCTGAGCACTGGACTGGACTGACGGACTGACGGACACTCCCGAGGCGTCCCCAGCGCCACCTGGAACTTGTCACAGCCCCTGGTGGCCTGGCTGATCCCTCTGGTGGCCTGGCTGATCCCTGTGGCCACCGGCAGCCCCCGGACTGTGCCTCACACAGCGGAACTGCCACCCCTGGCCCTGCTGCACGGGCTGGGTCCCCTTCCTCGGGGACTTTGGGCTGTCCCCAGGGTGTGTCCCCATTTTTGGGGACCTCAGGCTGTCCCCAGCCGTGTCCCCAGGCACTGTGTCCCCTTCTTTGGGGACCTGGAGCTGTCCCCAGCCGCGTCCCCTTTCCCAGGGGACCTGGGGCTGTCCCCAGTGTGTGTCCCCATTCTTGGGGACCTCAGCCTGTCCCCAGCTGTGTCCCCAGGTGCTGTGTCCCCATTCTTGGGGACCTCAGCTTGTCCCCAAGCCGTGTCCCCTTTCCCTGGGGCTGTCCCCAGCCGTGTCCCCACCCCTGGCTGTGCCCCGACCCCCAATAAAGGGCTGTGAGGTTGTTGCTGAGCGCTCCTGTCCTGCTCCGGGGCCGGGGGTGGCAGGCTGTCCCCAGCGGGGTCACCCTGTCACCGGCAGCCTGCCGGGGCCGGGGGACAGAGGCAGCAGCAGGGTCACACGCCTGAGGCCTTTATTGGAGTCAGCGGGGCTGGGGCCACTAAACCTCCAGGGCATCTATCACGGCCTGGGTGAAATCCACGGAGGTGGAGTAGCCCCCCATGTCCGCCGTGCGCACCTGCAAGGAGACGGGAGTTAGGGACAGCGGGGTCACCCCCAGCTCCCCGGAGCCCTCTGCGCCCCCACAACCGTCCCCTGCGCCTCGGGGACCTGCGCTCCTGCTGGTGGCACTGCCACCCCTGGCCAGCACCCCGAGCCGCCCCCGAGGGAAGCGCTGGAGCCTTTATTAGCGAAGCGGGAATACAGAGCACGGCGCGGCCCCAGAAGTGACAACTGCCGGGGGTTTGGGGTGTCCCCAGGGCACCCCAGGGCTGGAACTGTCCCTGCACGGGGGGACCAAGGGGTGTGGGGGTCACCCTGGTTATTGCTGAAAGCTGGAGGGGCTGGGGGCCACGGGAATGGGGGAGCCCACGGTCATGGGGAGAGGGTGCTGGGGTCCCAAAAACTGCCTGGGAACCCCAAAAACTGCACGGGAATGGGGGCACTGGGATCCCAAAAACTGCATGGGAACCCCAAAAACTGCACAGGAATGGGGGCACGAATCCCAAAAACTGCACTGGGATCCCAAAAACTGCCTGGGAATGGGGGCACTGGGATCCCAAAAACTGCCCGGGAACCCCAAAAACTGCACGGGAATGGGGGCACGAATCCCAAAAACTGCACTGGGATCCCAAAGACTGTACTGGAATGGGGGCACTGGGATCCCAAAAACTGCCTGGGAATGGGGGCACTGGGATCCCAGAAATTGCACTGGTCCCATGGGAATGGGGGTCCCACAGTTGTGGTGGTCCCGTGAGAATCCTAAAAACCAGGCTGGTCCCAGAGTCACAGGGATCCCGTGGGAATGGGGATCCCACGGGAATGGGGATCCCATGGGAATAGGGATCCCTTGGGAATGGGGGGTCTCAGAATCACAGGGATCCCACAGGAACAGGGATCCCTTGGGAATGGGGGTCCCACAGTTGTGGTGGCCCGGTGAGAATCCTAAAAACCAGGCTGGTCCCACAGTCACAGGGATTCCATGGGAATGGGGATTCCATGGGAACGGGGATCCCATGGGAATGTGGATCCCTTGGGAATGGGGATTCCATGGGAATGGGGGTTCCATGGGAATGGGGATCGCACAGGAATGGTTCTCCAGTCACAGGGATCCCGTGGGAATGGGGGGTCCCAGAATCACAGGGATCCCACAGGAACAGGAATCCCATGGGAATGGGGATCCCATAATCACAGGGATCCCACAGGAACGGGGATCCCATGGGAATGGGGATCCCAGAATCACAGGGATCCCACAGGAACGGGGATCCCATGGGAATGGGGGTCCCAGAGCCACGGCGGGCGGGTGTTCCCGATGTCCCCGGAGCTGCCGCTGAGTGGGGGCCCTGCCCCATCCCCCGAGCACCCCAAATCCGCCCGCGGGGAGCGATCCCTGCTGGGCTGGGGAGGGCTCAGGGATTGTCCCGGGGTTCCCCCCGAGGGAGGGCTCGGGGATTGTCCCGGGGTTCCCCCCCGAGGGAGGGCTCAGGGATTGTCCCGGGGTTCCCCCCGAGGGAGGGCTCAGGGATTGTCCTGGGGTTCCCCCGGGAGGGCTCAGGGATTGTCCCGGGGTTCCCCAGGGAGGGCTCAGGGATTGTCCTGGGGTTCCCCCGGGCCGGGGAGGGGGTCTGGGGGGGCTGCCGGGGGTCTAGGCCCCGTAGTGGGGGTGCAGGTTGTCAATGACGGACTTGACGAAGTCGGAAGTGGTGGAGTAACCGCCCAAATCCCGAGTCCGGACCTGCAAATCCAACAGAGGGAGGGGAAAAACGGGAGAAAGGAGCTGTGAACGCAGGGAATGGGCTGGGAGAGGGACAGGAGAGAGAGAGAGAGACAGCAGACACCCTGAGAGCCCTGCCAGGACCTGGGGGAATGGGGAAGGTCCCTGAGAACCCTGCCAGGACCTGGGGGGAATGGGGAACATCCCTGAGAGCCCTGCCAGGACCTGGGGGGAATGGGGAACGTCCCTGAGAGCCCTGCCAGGACCTGGGGGGAGAATGGGGCTGGTCCCTGAGCCCTGCCAGGACCCAAACGAGGACAGGGCCATGGAGGATCCTCCAGCCCTGCCCCAAGTCCCTCCCTCGCCGGGACATGGCCACAGGGGCTGGACACAGCCGTGGGTGTGGGAGTGGAGCTGGAGAGAGAGAGGAGCCCCAGGATTCCAGCTGGAAAGAGGAGAGGATCCCCAGAATTCCAGCTGGAGAGAGGAGCCAGAATTCCAGCTGGAAAGAGGAGAGGAGCCCCAGAATTCCAGCTGGAGAGAGGAGCCAGAATTCCAGCT